TATCGTGCGTTAAGTATTGTGATAATATCGTATCGTGGGATGTATGGTGATTCCCACCTCTATTAATCATCTTCTTCACAGAAATAACACATGGCACATTCTGGCACCATTAGCACTGCTTGGCCACTGGATGTCTCTGTTAACCTAAGTGTGAGAGAAGAGTGAATTTTATTTGCAAAATGCACAATCAAACAGAACAGAAAGCACACTGTGGATTTTACATGTTGAAAATTAATGTTAGAGACCTCAAGGCTATTTTACGGTGGATAAAAGAGTCTGTTTTCTCTTTTCTGATGTGACAGGAAAAACTAGAAGAGAGGAAGAAGATCCTGTTAAAAGCAGCTCAAAGGTAAAAACCACATTTATAAAGAGTTAGCTTTCTTACATTGTTCCACACAGTTTGTGTCATAATATTTACGAAGCCGAATGCCATTATTCCACTGTCACTGTATGACTTGATACCTTTTTCCATTGTATCATGCTGCATTGTGCTCAGGGTGATAAATAGCAGTGCCCTGTTTGCTCTGGAATAATCTCTGTCCGCACCGAACACCTTTTCTTGGATGATTTTCATCAAAGCATGGAGCTGAATTTAAACCACTTCAGTAGGATTATATGTTTGCAGCTTGTGTCTGCATCCATTCAATGAAAATAAGGCCAACTGAAAAGTGTTGGGAAACACATATATGATATGTAAATCACAGACTTACTGAAGTCTATGATATCAACAAAAGCAACTGCTCCGGGAAAGCCTAGAAGCTGTCTGTAGATTTTCTACATTTTGCATTAAAACAGAACATATTTACGACGACTGATGGGTCAAGTGAAAATATATAATACACTGTCTTGAGAATATTATCTTTTCTTTCACACTTTGCTATTTACTTTTTAGCTGCCTGCTTGTGCAGAACTTATGTTTCTCAAACTATTTAACATTGACTCTATGCCACGAAAATAATTACAAATAGATTTATATTAGAATCAGTAAACTTTGATTAAATGCCACTGTTGCAGCTAATTAGTACGTTGGTTCAATTAACTGCACATCAGGTAAAATTTATGAAAGACTAATGGCTTATCACCAACTGATGATAAACTCGCAAACTTAAATTTGTGTTTATCCAGGTTTTTATTTTGTCTGGAAAACGTTGCAAGCACTTTTGCTCGCCTCTCCAAGCACTCCATGTATACGTGTGCATGATTGAATGGGAACAATTTTATGTATTTGAGTGGGTGAGTGTATAAAGTTGCACTCTGTGGGGATCTTTAATGAGATTTTTTGTGGCCGATGTCCTCCATCTCTTTCTGTCTCCTTCTTGCCTGGAAGCCAGCCAGCGGCTGCCTTCCCGGAAGAGCGTTAAAGGCTATTTATGTCAGGCTTTGTGTATCTGAGCCAGCATCTGTGCTTGTGTGTTTGTTACAAGAAAAGACAGATAGATTAGCTCCTGGAAATATGGAGTATGTTGTTTGCGGTTGCACCTCCTGAGCTGATTCCTCTGTGTATTGTGGCAAGCGTGAATGTGAAGGTGTAGTCTTACATATTTGTGCATTTGTGTGTTTGCAGCCAACATGAGGAGAAGGAGAAAGCACTGAAGGAGCAACTGTCACACCTTACTGCACTCCTACCTACCCTCCAGGTTAAGTGCTGTAAAGTAGACAAATGTTTCTGTTTCTCCACAACTATCAGACCTTGAAAGAAAATACTAGGATCCTTAATAAATTAAGAGTACACACAGAACAACATAAAATACTCAAATACCAGAACTAGTAAAAGAATGAGTAAAAATGCAAAATATGAGCAAAAGGTACTTGAATTACCTGATTGTACTGCAATAATGCAGTGAAGTAAAAAAATCTGTCTGCATATAATTCTAATAATAAATCAACTTATTATGATGTGTTTTGATTTAACTATGACATATTCAATTAGCCAGTGTTGAGCTATGGTTACAAATGAATCAAATGCTGAGATTTTATCAAAGTTGCAGGTTTCTGAGAGAATACACAAGATGCCCCTTCAGTGTCAATCCCATCATGCACTGGGCTGTGGCAATTGTGTGACGAGTATCACTCCCACCTGGTCACATATTAACACTTGTCACATTTTAAAGGCACAATCTAACAAATTAAATACAAGAAACCTTGTAAAAAAAAACAACAAAAACCTTTCTTTATAAATACAGTTTAATACTATCACGGCTGTATCTGCACAAAATATTGACATTAATGTAATGTAAACTTTTATAGTGTAATACATTATGTTTTAAATCATTAATTCAAAAAGGTTGTGATGATTATTATTTATTATTTCATCTTCATAATACATTTAGTGGTTAAAATGTTAGCAGCACTCCAATTTGTGGTGCAAAAACTCGGGTAAAAGCTGTAAAAGCTGACGTCGTGTCACATATTGTGAAAGCCAACCAAATAGAATCTGTTTATGGAAAATTACATCACAAAACTAAAGGAAAACAGTAATAAAGAAATAAAAAAAGTACGGTGGTAACAAAACAGCTGATAGCATACGATAAAGATTATAAAGTAAACAATACATCACTGTTTTTTACAACAAGGAACTACTTGTGTTTAACTGTATTTGAACTGGGAAAATTCTTCGACTTTTAAGGCTCTGGTTTTCTCTTTTTAAACATTCTGGGTTAGAATTTCATCCCATTACACCTTCTTTTTTTAACTTAAAAAACAGTTTATGTTTCAAAAACAAATCAAGCAGCCAATAAAAGCAACAGTAAAAAACAAAACAGCTAATAGGTTATTTCAGTAGATTTGTATTATATAGATCTGTATACATTTGCAAATTTCTTCTTCTTGCATCTGTTTTTTTTTACTCTAATCTTTAACTTTTCATCCTTAAAGGTCCACCTTGTCACCTGTTCAGCCTTCCTCAGCTCGGCTAACAAGTTTGAGTTTTTGGATATGGGCTATGTAAGTATAGCAAAGACTGGGTGAACAGAAACTGTGATCCATGTCCATAATTTTGACAGTATTTTAGTATTTTTTGCAATAAAGTAAAACAGCCCTTCAGTATAAGATGTACGAAAGTAACAGTGAATGAGTGAGTATGGAAGAAGAAGCATGGATTAATAACAGGAGATTGCCCTGTCTGCTGCGTACACAAAGGGCTCTGCTCTTTCTGGGGAAGTTTTCTTGGCAAGAGAAAAGTTGCAGTATTAGCTGCACTGAATAGGCTGATAGATGAGGTCCACAGTGTCTTGGGGAGGTTAAACAGGTCACTGAATCACACCTGGATGTTCTTGCATACACAGCAACTCATGGAGAGGCTGAAGAGGATTGTGAAGCTCCCTCATCGACTGAAACCAGTGCAGAGCAGCAAAGTGAGTAGGAACAGCATTCATTCAGACATAGAAAAGGTTACACTGAGAAAGCAATCCACTGGAGCCTTTAGTTGTTTAATCTGTTATTCTTTTTTAGTCAGAACTACTTTTTCTTTTATATAAAGTTTTTGGCCTTTTAACGTGCACTATATTTGTTTATTAATAAGTGACACAACACAGTTTGTCTGCGGATCTCTGATAGCTTAATGCAACAGATTAAATAAGGAAGAGAAATAGCTGGCAAAATGACAGAAGCACAGAGGACACACGATAAATGAATCAGAACAAAACATGGGCTAATAAATTACCCAGAATTTTACATCGGCAAGACTAAACATAGCAAAGGACTAAGTAAGTACACTCCAGCAAGCAAGGCTAAGATGTTTTTGTGTTATATGTGGAAATACATAACACAAATGCTGCAGACAGCAATAAACATCACTCATACAGGAAGAGCTATTAAAACTTATTATTAAAAGCCACTTGGTTATTAAACAGATAGATTATAATCTAGGAAAGCAAAAAGAAATATGTAACACTTCTTGGATGAGGCATTTAATCATCTCAAGGCAACTGGAGAGCTTCAGTATGTAGATTTGTGAACGCAAAAGACATTTCCTGGTTTGGTGAAGATTCACATAATTTTTAATCTCATAAATCCAATCAGCAAAGCAGACAGCAGGAGGTGTGTCTACGAGAAAATATATCTGCAGTGTTTCTGCCATTTGTGTCTCTATATCTGTAATCTTAATATTTAAAGCAACAGATACATGCTAACAAATATATCTCATATAAAAAGATCTGTGATGGAGACATGGGTGTTATGATTGTATTATCCACAGATGCATTTTCAAATAAGTTGTATAATCTTAAAGTACTTATTTCTTTTTTTTTAACCCGAATAAGGCTGAGTGACATTATCTCTGCTCTCCCTTAGATCAACACAGAGTACAGAAGTGAGTTTGCTCGCTGTCTAGAGCCTCTGCTGCAGATAGGACCACGCTGCCCTCCTTCTGTCACTGGTTCCACAAGTGCTGCAATACGGTAAGATCATTTGGCTTAGAACCACTTTAAATGTAATCACTAACTGATCCCTTCCTGTGAGTTTTATTTTTACATTGTTCTTTCACCAACTGAATATTTCCACGGCATCTTTCGTATTCTTCCAAGTAAACAAAAGTCTGGGCAGAAAATTTCACACTTGTGAAGCATCCAAACTCAAAATCCCCAAATGTTTTGCAAGTGCACATGGACTGCAGTGAGACAAAAGGAGGCGCCGTGCTGACTGCCACTATGGCAGTTATTTCATCTGTCTGTAAGCTGTGTACGCTGATATATTTATGTAACTCACCTTGTCGTGTGGAGGCTGGACAGGAGGCCCTTCGTCCTGTATTAAAAAGGTCTGGTCGTGCCGTGGCCAGATAACATTCAGGAGAAGGATGCATGAGTGGTTGCACGTGCTCACAGTTCCTGCACAGTGTTTTTTTTTCCTCAAGCTTTACATTATCAGAAGAGGGTTTGTTTTTTTTTACCAAACAGATTTGTTTCATTTTGAAATCATATTAAGTCAACAGTAAATATGAGTCATCAATCAATCGATACTTTATTTATATAGCACATTTATAGACCAGAGGTACACCAAAGTGCTTCTCAATAGTAAAATATGAAATAAAATTAATTATACATTGTAATTACATTACAATGACACATGCCGCTACCCATAAAAATACGAAGAGTTCAGTCCTCTCTTGTTTTGCTTTATGTCATTATCCACATACACAAACTCCCCTGATCATTTTCTTTCCACATCAGTGTCTCGCAACTGTTCACAGGTTCTTAAGCCCACCCACTAATGCCAACATACTGACAACTCTCCTTTGCAATTTAGTTAACGCCCTGCCAATGCAAGATGCAAAGTAGGTAGGGATTGGTGGTCAGTCGGCCGCCTGGCACTATTTTTATCCCGGTTTCACAGAACTCTCTCGGATTCATCTGTAAGTTGGCACGCAGGGGCCGCCCGACCGTTTTGTTCCAGACCGTTGATGTCACTGTTTTAGCACGGGCGACGTCTTTAACTGGCGTCACTACTGGGAGGACAGGGGCTGGATGTTCAGAGGATAACGTGTAGAGCAGACTGAGAAATACATGTTTCAGACAAGTTTGCTGTTGCATCAGCTCTGGACAAAGAGGCAGGAGTAAGAGGCCACCAGGTTGCAGGTAATTTCTTTTTGAGTATATAACATATACCTTAACTTGCATTGTAAGCCCAGAATATTTATTTAACTTTTGGAGTTATCTTTAAGTCACCACTGCTGTGTAGATTTGGCTAAATTTGTTTATGATTCAGAGCCTGGCTTTAGCACTCGTGGGTACATTTCCATTGAAGCCTGTGGCACTGTAGGATGGCAGCGGTTACACAAGGTGCTTGACTGATCAGTCTTTGAACTTCACTTTGTACCTCAATTCAGAGACAGAGGAATAAATTAGCTTTTCTTTACCATATGGTAGTTCAAAATAACACCCACATGGTGTAGCCTGTTACTCAGCTGAATGTGCTGTTGCGTCTGAATGCTTCTAATGCAGGATGCAAAGCAAGCAGGGATTGGTGGACAGCCAGCTGGCTGGCCCTATTTTTATCATAATTTCACAGAACAGAAGCTCAGTGAAGTCGTACATGTAAGTTCTTTCATGCAAAGAATGCTGCTGCTTTAGTACTGTCAAAGTCGTTAATCAGCTGTGTTGAGACACAGCCTGGATTTTTGGAGATGGAAACGTGAGAGTAATCCATTCACACCTCACCCACCACAAAACGCTTTTCTGATTGTTTATGCTGTTTTAGGCATGAAGCCAAAATTATGGTCCTACCAGGACCCAGATAAAAGCAGGTTTAGTTGCGCTACCACATGCTGTGCTTGCATACCTTTACACTTTCAGAGAAGTGATGACAATAAGACGCTACTCTTTTGAGTGACAGCAGTTATGTTGATTTACTCATGACTGCACTCATGATAGTGACAACTTCTAAACAGTTCCTCTACGGATTTACTGTCGCTGTCTGTCTTTTTTTCTGTGGTTAGTTTTTAATATGAACAGCAACAGTTGGTCTGCTTTGTCCAAATTTTGCAGTATTTTATGGAAAGAAAATGTAAAAATGTATGTTTGTCACCAAAGACATTAGTAAGATATAGTGGATACTTGATTTTGGTAGCTTACATATCTGTACTTTCATACTTTCTAAATTCAATTCAGTTTTATTTATACAGCGCAAAATCACAACAACAGTCACCTCAAGGTGCTTTATATTGGAAGGTAGACCTTACAATAATAAATCTAAGTGACCGATGAGGTTACATGTTTAAAACTTTGAGTTACAGTCGGCACGGCTTACAAAGTACCAAGGAAGAAGAAGCAAAGAGGAGACTTTATAAATTAGTCTAACTTATACATTTTGAATATGCTTTAAAAATGTGTAGCATGATAAAGTTATAACACAAAATAAGAATGAAAGAGAAATAGAACCAAAAATGGATTATATTTGCATGTAGTAAATTTTGTAAAGGTTACAGACTCTCTTGACTTTCTGGCACAGTTTTTGATTTAATTATTTCACCAAAACACACAAAATCTATAATAAATTATGTAAACATATTATAGGTTTTGACTTATTAACTAATTTAACTGTTAAGAATTGAATTTTGTTTTTAATATAAGATATTGTGGTAATATATTTTGTCCTGTCTCTTCAGGCTCCAGTCCCCTCTCACTGTGTCTTGTCGCTCCCCGTCGCTTAGTGAGATGCCCCTGGGCTCGGCGTTTGGGCGAAGGCCCACCTCTCACCGCAACATCTGCACCAAGGTTCTTTTGGCCGAGGGCAGGGAAACACCCTTCACCGAGCACTGCCGCAATTATGAGAACGCCTACAGGGTGAGCTGATATGTGTGACCTGTAATATTGTGGATTCACCTTTAGGATTTGTGGTAATTACCCAATTCTTAGGTCCAAAAATATTTTAGTTTGCACAATTAATTATACTTACACCAAGGAGTAAGAGGTTTAAAGGTGCTTCTTTTCTTAAGATGATGGTTACAAGAGAACCATCATCTTACAGCTACTTAAATATAAAAAAGATGTTTTGTTGTTTTTAGTAGGCTTTTGTAATCAGTAGAAAATAGGGTATATCAGTTATAAAGATAAATGAAATATTTTACCGTTTTATACTTACTTTATAAATCACCTGAATTTGGATACACTGAGATACTGAGATACGCAACAGTACACAAGGAGCCCACAAAGTAAAGCAGTGAAACACAGCAGCATAAATTCCACCAGGAGATCATTTTCAACTTGTGTAGAGAGCAGCAAGTTTTTCATGCTCAGCTGCACTTCACAGGCATCTGTACACCCATCATTTTGAAGGAAAGTTCTTACAGGTTGCCCTATATATGTGCATGTCTGTGTGTTTATAGTCTCTGCAGACAGAGATGCAGAATCTGAAGGACCAGGTCCAGGAGCTGCACAGAGATTTGACCAAGCACCACTCCATCATCAACACAGATAAAATGGGGGAGATCCTGGACAGATCGCTACACATTGACAGTCAGATAGCTGCCCAGTACTCCACAGTAGAAACTATGAGAGTCATGTTTGAAGAGGTGCGCCAGGTGATACCTGACATTTAGTATGTTCTTGCCTCTGCCAGGCACTTCTGATTAAAACCTATCAACATTTGTGCTTGATTGGTACCTCTAGCTAAATATTACATATTAACAAGCTAGTTTTCACCCATTTGTCATAAATGTAGACTACAGGGAATGCAAACAGAAGAAAAAAGAAAACTGCAAATGCCAATGTATCCCTTGAGTGAACCAACTGCAGTTCCTGCAACATTTTGCTCTGTGAGAATCAGCTTACTTTGCACCTTTTCTTTGCAGATGTGGGATGAGACTTTTCAGAGGGTCACGAATGAGCAGGAGATCTATGAAGGTTTGTCCCCAATAATGACAACAAAAATTCTAATTTAAAGAATCTTTTTTAATAGGTCTAATTAACTTTGTTTACTGACTGCAGCCCAGCTTCAGGACCTGATGCAGCTGAAGCAGGAGAACTCTTACCTCACCACCATCGCTAGACAGATCAGCCCCTACATCCTGTCCATTGCTAAAGTGAAAGAGAGACTTGAGCCCAGGTGTTGTATTAAGAAAGTGGATGACTACAATGTCTGGCAACACAGAGGCAGCTCTCACTGATAGTTAACAAAGTTTGGATCAATCTGCAGCAAAAAACAGCCCCCAAGTATAAAGTTTTTATTTTGAAATACAACACGATACAGCCTCATTACTCAAACACGAAAGCTCCAGCAAAAATAATCAGCTTTCAGAAAGTAAGTAAATTATAAAGAGTGAAAGTAACACAATATCCATAAAAGTTTTTCATCCACAAATTTATGTAAGAAAGGGTGCAATGATTCAGTGATTACATAAAGACAGAGAGCACGAGCTCCTAAAATATAAAGTTTTGGACACACATACGAATGCAAAACCTTGACATTTATTCACAGTGAATGTAGACGTGTATCTTTATCCCCACTACATGCAAAACATTTGTGACCTATTTTTTAAAAAAAACAAACAGGCTTATTAGGAAAGGCTGTGGATAGAGTTATGTTGTGTTTGTGTGTGATTTTTTTGGTAAACATCTCTTAAAACGTGTCTCGCAGGTTTCAAGGGCCCAAAGAGCACCTCGATGACCGCACCGAGACGATGCAAAAAATCTATGAAGACAGCACAATGACAAAAGACTGTCAAGAGAGGTATTGATATTTGCTGTGATTAACAGAGGGTTTCTCTAGCTGAAGACTCATGTTAAGTAGAAACTGTCAGCTAGATTAAAAGAGCTGCCACACAGCATGAAAGATTTTGTTTGTTTTGTGAATAAGAGATTATATGTACTTTAATTTAAGGACTT